CTTGTGACACCCTAGTGATGTCACATGACATGCACATTTATTGGCGTAAAGTCAAAGGACATTCTCGTGCACCCGGAACTGATAAGGACCTGAACGACCTTGCAGACTCTCTTGCCAAACAAGGCGCGGCCGATGGTACTCCATGGGCCTTCAACCCCTTGTGGCTTCCTGAGGATGTGTCTTCTCGGTCTGACCCACCCCGTGTGTGTCGTGACTCGAGCTCAGGCCGCTAACACGTCCACCTCCAAACCATCCGAGGGTGTGGTGTCCGTTCAACTTGTCTTTTCTGGTAATGATCTTGTCAGTCTTCAGTCCCAGGACCCTGCTATAAGCAGGATGATCCTGTACCTTTCTGATCATAGAACTCATCTGCCTTCTTCCGCCCAGTTTGACTCAGTTCCTGAGCTCCGTGCTCTCTTTCGTGTTAGGGTCACGCTGAGAATGGTTGAAGGGTTGCCGATGCACGCCTCCAAGCCTCCTTTGCCGCCTGTCCTCGTGGCGCCACAGTCACTAAGGGGGGGGGGGGGCATGATCACGCAAGCTCATGACTCTCCCTCCGCCGGACACAAAGGTGTCAAGGCCATGTTCGGTGCCCTGAGCCAGGTTGCTTATTGGCAGGGGATGCATTGCGACATCTCAGACCATGTCCAGCGTTGTTTGGTTTGTTGTCAGTTTCAGCCATCCAACCCCGCACACAGAGCTCCCCTACAGAGAAAGGGACAGTCCACACTATGGTCGGACTTGCGATTCGATTGAGTGGGGCCTCTGACCAGGTCCAGCAGGGGTAATAAATACATCCTGACCGTGACCTGTGCATTCACCAAGTGGGTTGAATGTCTACCAGCACCTAATGACACGGCAAAAACAACAGCTATTCTCTTGATGAATCACATCATCGCCCGGTTCGGTCTTCCCACTCGGGTTGACTTGGACAGGGGTACTCACTTCACCTCTGAAGTGATGGCACATCTTTCGAAACTGTTGGGTGTGAAGGCCAATTCCCACATTAGCCATCGCCCCCAGTCTTCTGGCCAGGTCGAAAGGATGAACCGGACGGTTGTCGGTATGTTGAGGAAATACGTGTCCTCTAATCACCGAGACTGGGATGTGACGCTTCCGTTGGTCCTCATGGCCATACGGGCCACCCCTCATGAGTCTACTGGTGTCTCCCCGTTTGAAATGATGACGGGTAGACACATGACCCTGCCACTTCACCTGCTGTACCAGCCTGTTCAGTCCGAGGCCGATGCGGCTTACACGAGCGAACAATATTTGCAGGACCTGAAGAACCATCTGCCTGCAGCGTTCTCGTTTGCACAGACAAATCTGGAGAAATCAGCTGAGGGCAGGAAGGCTTATTATGATCAGAAAGCCTCACATTCTGAACTCAACATAGGTGATGAGGCCTGGTTCTACATTTTTGCTCCTAAAACTGGTAACACCAAGAACAACTCTGGGAAGCTGGCTAAGAAACTTTTGCCAAAATGGTCACGCCCATACCTGATAACTGATAAGCTCTCTCCAGTCATGTATCAGATCAAGATTACCCAAACAAACAAGGAACCCATCTACAAATGGGTCCACAGGGACCAAATCAAACTGCACAAGGGTTCCACCAATTTGGTCAATGCTACCACCAACAACTTACCGACTTCGAAAGGGGGGTGATTTCGTGCCTTGTCGGTCCCATAGCTCCCTATCTCGAGTTACACAAGTTTATTTATGTTTGTGTGTGTGCATGGTTGTCTTTCCTGTTTATACATGACGTGCAGACTTGGGTGATTTGAGATGAACATGCTGTGGGTTCCTGAAGTCAGGTAATCAGGTAGTTAACAGTAGATGGGTTTAGTCCACATATTACTGCTATCCAATTTTTTTTATTATTATTTTCACTAATCGTAATTCCTTATGGGTACATTCACATGTAGGTTGATTACTAACTTCACTGATTTATGTTTTAGTGCTCTTTGACACTCATATATCTATCTTTTTATAGAACTTTACTACAGTGATTAAGTTTTGAAAACTTTATAATTAACTTTGGTAATTTACCATTATGGGCTACAACCAATTTTACCCTTCATTTTGATTACATTTTTACTTAGTGCAGTGAGTTCTCCCATACGCAGTATAGGGTTTTATTAATTTCATTCTTTTTGCACCACTTTTTGCATTACACATAGTGTATTGCATCCATTTCTTCTCTTATAATGCTAATTCACATAATTGCTACACATAGTACATGCAGGTACTCACAGTGCTAGGTTTCTTTTTGTTTGTTAATTTGCATTAGATGCCATTTTGTTGTGTCTACATTGAGGTGCCCTGTGCTGTGCTCCCTCTCCTCTTTTGAGTTTCGCTGAGCTCAGGAACGGAGTCAGGAAGCAAGGAGGACGTGATCATTGGATTCTGCTCCTCCTGATGGGTGTTCCAGCTCATAGGACCTGGATGTCCATTTGTTCCGCCATGACTGCTGGGATACTTCACTCGCTGGGACCTGACTTGCCTGCTGCTCTTTCCTGCACTGGATCACGATAAGTGCAATTACAAACATCAATATACTGTTTTAGTACTCCCTACCCGTGGATATATAAAGTTGCTCCTGCTTCAAATTATTATCTCCACGTGGATACCTTAATAATCTGCTGACTTGTGTGCTTCCAAAGGGATTTTGCGAGACTGTTGAAACCATAGACTGTACTTCGGAGTGGGGTTCGTACCTCACCACTTTTGGCCTCTTCCTGGGGAACTGCACCTTCCCCTATCGTCGGAGTCCCTTTAGGACTCTGGTTTGTTCAACGCCAGGTGGTCTCTGTATGGACCACCGTACCATTGAAAAGGGGGGGATATGTAATGGAATGAAATGACTGTTTTCCACCAAAAGTCATTTCCCCCTCTCCTCTGACACAGAACTAGTCTGCATGAGATATGGCCTCAAGGTCTCATGCATTTGCTTATAAACTGCTTCTTTCCAGCTCAAAAGAAGAATGAAGAAAGGACTCTCTCCTTTTAATAAATCAAAGAACTATATTTTTAATAAAGCTAATCAAACAAAGTGTTAGTCAATAATAAGATGTGACCAATCTGTGAAACCAAAATATTAATTACTTTATTATAATCCTATAGAACATAATAAGTAAAATGACTTTAAATGTTTCCACTAGGACTGATCTCACGTAGCGTTAAGAGATGACACATTGCTTTTACTGATCCAATCAGAATCTGCCAGATCTGACGGATGAGTGGTTTGTCGTTGGTTCTTTTGGCTGAAAAAGAAAGTTACGGATTGGACACTCCAACAACTTCTCTGGAACGCTTTGAACTGGCGTTAAAGATGACGTGGGCATAGTTTTATACTTCGGATGTTTTGGTTTATGGTCAAATGAAAAGATGACAGGTTTACCAAGCACCACCATAACCACGGTGCAGGTTCAGGCTGATTTCTAAAGCTTGGTTTATGCTTCATCAGCGTGAGTGTGGAGTTGCGCACTTTAGTTGACTTGAAAGCTCAACTTCTCTTTTAAAAATTGTTTGAATGTTTCTGATGGCACACTTTAGTTCAAACAAGCTAAGGTGTCAGAATGCGTGCGTCTCTCTCACGCAGCGGATGTTTTAGTGAGGAAAAACTATCAGACGGCTTCGAAAAACGTGCAGCCAGCTTGGTATTGCAGGGAAAACGGTGTGCATTTTGTTATTTAACACATTTAAAAACTATTTCTACCCACAGATTTCCTCCATGCATTTTGGAGTAGAACATGTTTTTATAAAGCTCCTCTCTAGATAAAAATCACAAGCACAAGTTGCTTCACAAACATAAAAAAGGATAATAATGGGAGAAAATATGAATAGCTTTAACTTTTTTATTGTATGATTAAGTAGTAAATATTAATGTGAATGATTTGTTGTACTAGATTAGAATCTAGAACATCTTTTCACTTGATCCACAGGATGGCTTGGCAGGCTAGTGTTGGACCTTTGATTGGAGAAAATTGCGAACTGAACCGAAATCGCAATTTCTGCTAGAAAAATTGCATTTCAATCTTTTCCTAAAATCGTTCAGCCCTACTAAAAACTACACATTGTCTCTTTAATTATCCTAACGTACATTATGTTATAACCCTGTTTTGTCCCATGGAAATGGGAAACTGTATCTGCATGTAAAGTTGCATCTAATGGTAAATCTCAAAGTTTTAGAGTTAAATTTACATAGATCTAAAATCCCTTAGGTGGAATAGTTGGGATGGTGCATTAAAGCTAACATTAAGAAAAATTAAGGAGGATGTGATCAGATTAAAGTAAAAAAGCTAAGAAAAGAAAAGACTATGTTTGTTCCTTTATTGCAACTGGAGGTTCTGGATGTGTTTTCACTGTGTAAACCATTAAAAGTGAGGCATTTTGTTGACTATGTGAAGTCTTAAAACTATTACTGCTGCAGACCTCAAAGAATGGCCTTGAATCATTCACAATAAGAGTCTCAACACATGCAAATCACAGAAAAGTTATTAAAGATTGTTCATTAACATATATTCTGGTAAAGCTCAAACGTTTAAAAAAAGTTTTAGATGTTTTCCTGTATGTGGGAATGTTTGTGACTCTCATTGTGAAGGACTGAAGGATGTTTGTTGTGGAGCATCCAAAAGAGAGCATTTTGTTTTTAAGACACCCCAAGTTTTGATAAAACAGATAATATTTTGTCATTCTTCCACAACATTTAGGCTTCAATCACAGCATTTCCTCCTTTTTTTCTTGGCCCTATAATATTTATTTATGCTCCTAAAAAATTATAAGTATTTTAATGAATGAAGATGAAAATTAGAAAAAAAAAAACAGAAAGGATGTAAATGAGCCAAACTGAACAGCTGAGAGGTGAATCCATGAAGCTCACGAGATGTTTGAGTTTAAAAGCTCATTAAGGCAGAGGTGGGGCTCCCCCTGTGATTGGTGGGTGTGTGGAGGGAGGGTGGGGACGTGTAGAGGCTGCAGGGAGAGTGGGCGACCCCTCCCTTTCCCTTCCCCTCCCTCACTGAGCCCGGCCGCAGTCCGGTCCTGTGCGTAAAGAGCGCAGAGCGCGCAGCAGAGTTGTGCGCAGCCCGGATTACTGTTCCTCTCCGTCCGAACAGAGCTGCTCCCCCATGAAGCTTGGTTCTTATCCGTGATTTCTTCGCCATGAGCTGCCTGGATGTGATGTACCAAGTGTTTGGTACTCAGCCTTATTTCAGCTCCTACAGCCCCTATCATCACCAGGTACGGGTCAACGCAGCTCGGGCTGCTTTTCTTTTATCACCTCAGACTTTTCTCTGATCATCTGAGTAATTAAAACCCCAGTTAGAGTCAGATGGACTGTTAATTAAAGTCATTGACCTCAGAATAAAGGCCTTGAACTGACTTTTTAATTGTTAAAAAAATAAGAACATCTTTAAAGCTTCTTTGCTCGCTTCTTTATTTCACTTTGGATTTATTTACCTCAAAGAAGAAAAGTTGGAAACATTTGCCAAATCTTTGGACTAAAACTACAAATACAACAAATTAGTTTTGTTATCCGATTCTTGAAGACTTTTTTAAGCTTAAGTGTATTTATAAAATAGTAAAATATGATTTTCTATGATTTTATAGGCTGGTGAAAATAATTCTGATGTTAGATTCAAATGTGTTTCTTTTAAACATATAATTTCTCAGTAATGTTGTTGTTGATTATTCAAATGAACATAATCAGGTTTGTGTCCATCAGTGGATGGAAGACCATGATGGTCAGTCAGCAGTAGGTTTTCCAGGCTTTTCCAGACCTGATTAACAGTTTTTTGTTTTTTCAGACCCTTAAAATCTCAGTCAACATTCAGGAATATTTCACATGCCAAAACTCACGTTGTCACCTAAACAGACTCTGGATCAGCTTAGTGTCCATTTTCACTGTGTGTGTGTGTGTGTGCATGCGTGTGTGTGCATGCGTGTGTGTGTGTGCATTCAGCCTTGCTTGTTTAATAGCACAAAAAATCCATCTATCATGCATAAAGTTGCTGTACTACAATCAGAGTGATGATTTTATGAACAAACAATTTTTTTACTTACTGAAAAAAACATCCCCAAAACTTTTATGTTTGACTATTTGACTTTATTTAGTAAAAAATAAAAAATTCAGAGGACATTTTTTAAATTCATGTGGGGAGAGTGGTGTTGCACAATTAATTAGAAATTTGAAAATAGTTTTTTTGATCTTTTTGATTTTTTTTTAGTTTAGTGGGGTTCTTCCTGTGAAATTTAGCTTTAACTTACAATTTAGAGAAGTTTTTAATGTCAAATTATATATATATATATATATATATATATATATATATATATATATATATATATATATACACATATACATATATATACACATTTATGCATTGAAAAAATGTAATTTAAGTCAGATCAATTCCTTTAACTTACAATTTAGAGAAGTTGTTAATGTCAAATTAAAGAAAAATTTCATAAGTTATTGAACTTAAATTACATTTTTTCAGTGCATAAATGTATGTGTGTGTGTGTATATATATATATATATATATATATATATATATATATATATATATATATATATATATAATATATAACTGTTAAGTTACCTTTAAAATAAATACTGTTGCACCACAAGTTCCATTTGTGACTCTGTCTCCCTTTTAGAAACTGGCTTTATATTCCAAGATGCAAGACCCCCAGGAGAGCGGCAGCCGGCTCGGCCCCCCGGGGCCCCTGGCGATCAAAGAGGAGGATAAGGAGCTGCCACCAGGCGCTGAGTACCTGAGCTCCCGCTGCGTCCTCTTCACCTACTTTCAGGGCGACATCAGCACTGTGGTGGATGAACATTTCAGCCGAGCCCTCAGCCAGGCGACTGCGTACCCGACCTCGAGCAGCCACAAGGCAGTGAGAGGTGTGTGTGTGTTTGTGTGTAAAAACGCCTGAATGAGGCAACATTTCACCAATTTGACACAAGAAATTCTGATTTGATAATCCTTCTACACTAAATTAATTTTGTTTATGTGAAAATAATCTTTGACCTTTTTGAACTTAGCGAGTCAAAAACTCAGAAAATGATTAATCTTAAATTTCTCAGTGGAGTTTTACTTCAGAGTATTTGGAGCAAACCTGGTGATTTCTGTGGCGTTGCACTGCTGTTCAGCTCCTCACAAGTTAAACTTTCCTCATGAAAAAGTGGAGGAAATCAGTTTCAAACCTCCTAAAAGCGTAGGGGCATTTATAGTTGTTCCTGAAAATAAACTGCACTGAATTGTGTATTTTCCATTTCCAGAATGTTCCTTTCCTTCACAGCAAGGCTCACCGATTTTGTTTATCTTTTTTTATTAGATCTGCATCTTACCTACTTCCTAAATTAACAGTTTTTTATCTGCAAAAATTTAACAAAACAAAAAATTGATCTTAAATATTGAATTTTCAACATCTGATTGTTGCTTCTAACCAGAAATCAGAGAATCCAGAAGTTAAAACAAACAAATGTTTTGAATTTTTGTTTTGAAAAGAGAAAATTGATTATTTTATGTTATCATCTCTAATTAACCCTGTGGTCTTTAAAAATTCTCTTGTTGCAAAATTACCAACAAATCAAGATAAAAAGTCAGATTTCAGACACAAAAATAATTATTTTACCCTTATTCTGTTTACCGAATGACGAGTTATTTTCTTTCCAGACGGATCTTTTCCGATGAGCCAGAGAAGTTTTCCTCCGTCGTTTTGGAACAGCTCCTACCAACCCTCCGTCTCCTCCACTCTGGGCAGCGCCCTCTCCTCTCCCCACACAGAGCTCTCCTTCGCAGGAGATCCGTACTCCTCCGCCTCCCTTCATAGCCACCTCCACCAGCCCAGCCCAGACTCCTGGCACCCGTCACATCACCATCACCATCACCACCACCATCCTTACTCACTAGGGGGCACCATCAGTACTCAGACTTCAGCCTATCCTCGCCCGGGGGTCCATGAGATGTACGGCACGGCGTTCGACCCGCGTTACGGATCGCTGCTGGTGCCGTCGGTGAGGTCGCACCACCGCCTGTCATCTGGCAGCTCAGTGCCAGGTCCAAGCTCCTCGCCCTGTGACCTTGGGGGTAAGGGAGATTCAGGAACGGGATCAGCCTGGAGCGGCGCCTTTAATGGAGCCGGAACCGAAATCGGACTCAACGTGGATGCAGGTACCCAAAAGTACTCCAGACAGTTTAAAGTATTTAGAAACAAACTGAACATCTTTAAGGTGACGGCTCAGAGGTTTTGCCTCAGTTTGGAGGAACTGAGATCAGTTTTGATTGATCAAAAAAGCTAACAGCTGATCACAATGAGGCTACATGTCAGAAGGTTTGACGCTAAATATTTATGCTGCACCACAAAGCACATGGAAGTTAAAGATGTAAACTGAAGTATTTGTGACACTTTTACGTGCAGCCTATGTGTTTTACCCTCATTCTACCAGCTTTATTGACCTGTTAAAACATTGTCCTCCTGAGATTATTCGATTATCTGTGTTAAACTTAACTAATCGAACTTTTAGTGAGATGGTTAATGACGTTGCAGCTTTCTTCACACATGCTTTCCACTGTCCAGAACAACAAAGGGGCAGATTAGATTTGATTTTCTCAGTTTGGTTAATTGTTTTCCTTCATGAGCTTTAGTTGGGATTATCTGATTAAAAATCACGTTTGTGGGTAAATCTAGAGTTAAATGAAGGTCTTTCTGCATTCTTTGGAATAACTCACAGAAGTGGTTTGAAGCAACAAACCTGCTGTCAATCAACACCTTAACAACAGCTGTCAGCTTTCTTTTTCTCCTGCTGTCGTTCTCCTCATCCCTTCTCCGCCCCAGGCACTTCCTTCTGCTTTATCAACAAGTCACTTTGCTCTCCATTGTCTAATCTCCCTTTTCTTGCTGTTTTCTCTTCCTTCTTCTCCTCCTTTCTCAGGTCTGCAGGCGCAGGAAAAGAGCAAGGACTTATACTGGTTTTAGAGACTTTTTCTCCTTCCTCTCTGCTTTTTCCCCCCTCCACTCCTGCTCTGCTCTGTGATAAATCAATGAGAAAACTTTTTTTTTTTTGGTGTAACAGCTTCTGGTCTGCTTGCAGCTCTGTGTTACGGTGGACTGTGCAGCACTGTGCAGCCCTGCTGAGCTGAACGCCGACCGCGTGGATACAAAACAAGCGTGGAAACAAAAGTAGTCTCGCAGAGAGGAGGGAGGGAATCCGATCTGGACGGACACGGACAAAGACAGGAGTCTTTGTGCTTCTGAAACAGGCAGGGACGACATTCCTAAACTGGAAAACGTCTGGGGACAGACGGACAGAGACATGTGCTACATTAGACTCCAAGGAGGAGCTCTTGAAGGGCTTGGCAGGACCTTCCTGACAACTGGGTTCAGACTCTTGGGAGCGTGTTATGGCTGCACGAGGAGCACCGGTGGGTGTCGAAGAGGCCAAATCTGGCCGATGATGAAGGCAGGAGGAGTGGAAACTCTTTAGTTTACATGTTCCACCTCAACACGGCGCTGATTAAACGATCATGATCCGTTTGAAACCCCTGACTTTAAACCTTATCTGTGTTTTTATTGTGATGAGGTTTGAAAATGCTTTCAGGATTAAGCATGCTCCTTCTAAATCCTGTTTTGTGAATGTAAGAAAAGGACTTTCACTAATAAATCCTTTTAGATGGATTAAAATCATGGTGGGAAAAACAAAAACAATCAAACCCGGATGTAAAACATAAAAATACACTGATATAATCTATAAAAACGCACCATGTGACTGTACCGTACATCCTCTATGCTGCTATTAGTTTAACAGATTTAAATCTGAACACGTTCACCTGTTAAAACATTAAAGATTCAGCATCTGAAACTAAAGTTTTCTGAATGAGGTTTGTTGCTTTAAAATGATGAATTAGGTAATTAAAAAAAACATAAAATAATTTGCTGCTTTTCAGTTTTATGTCTGTTTACACAAAACATCAAATAAAAAAACAAATTCATGGTATCTTACTTTAAATGCAGACTAAGCAAATAAAAAAATTAAATTTAAAGACACATCTGAGGTGTGTGTTTTTGTTCTCTTTGATGTTTCTGAGAATCTCTGGGTTTCATCTGAAAGTTAGAATAAAGATAATTAAAACTTTTGTTTTTAAGTTTTAAAAACTTAAGTTTTTAAGTTGAGTTTATTTTTTCAGTTATACGTAAAAAATAAAAATAAAACATGAGATTTTCATCTCGCCCGAGAATACGTTTTTCAATCACTGTAACTGAAAAGAAGAAGGAATTGGCTGAAGCCGAGGATTATTACTTTCTATCATATCCTTACAGATCCATCATAACACCAGATCAAAGAAAATACAAAAGCAACAACAAAATAAAACAAATTATTCATGTCCTTCATTCACATGTTCATTTTGTTACTCCATAGTTCTGAAATATTTCCTCTTTTCATAATTTTTTTAAATACAAGAAAGATCCACAAAAATTTCAACTCATCACTAAGACTACTCTATAGTTTGACTCCCAAAAATGACACACGTCTGTATTTACCATTAGTTCTGACTTTACCTCTCAAATTAATTTCAATTAATGTATTCACGCCACCTTTTACATAAATAGTAAATGGTAAATGGCCTGTATTTGATATAGCTCCTTCTAGCGTCCTGGGACCCCCCAAGGCGCTTTACAAAACAATCAGTCATTCACCCATTCACACACACATTCACACACTGGTGGGGATGAGCTACGATGTAGCCACAGCTACCCTGGGGCACAATGACAGAGACGAGGCTGCCGAGCACAGGCGCGACTGGTCCCTCCGACCACCACCAGCACGCAACATGGGTTGAGTGTCTTGCCCAAGGACACAACGACAGCGTCAGACTGAGCGGGGCTCGAACCTGCGACCTTCCGATTACGGGGGCGAGCACTTAACTCCTGTGCCACCGTCGCCCTCAGATACTTTTGCTTTAATGTAATTTTTTCCTTCAGTTTTACCTCAAATAATCTTGATTCCATTAGTTCTTTGGGTTCTATGTGAAGCTGCATGTTTTAAGGACCTTTTGAAGACCTGAAGGTTCTTTTATTGAAAAATTTGAAACAGCTGGAAAACAATTGTGTGAAAAAGTGTTATTACGGCCACTTTGATGTGTGTTTCTGTGTAGAAGTTAAAAATGACTGCTTTCTTACATTTTTATTCATGCATTTTGCAGACAATTTATCAAATTTATAAGGACATTTTAGCTTGAATGGTATGTTTAAAGGAATATTTAGCAACTTTTTAATATTTTTAAATAATTTTTTGAGCTAGTATGTGTTAAAACGACCCTTAACAGGATTATTGAAAGGCCACTCAACCCCTATTGCCCCCCATGGCCAGAATATTCCACTTGCAACTTCATAGTTGCTGGTCCGACCTGTTGGGCCTTAAAAAAATGAGCTGACATACCTGGAGCTGCAGTCTGGTTCCAGCACGTTTCCTGCATGTTTTAGATCATGACCACAGCTGGTTTGTTTAATGTAGTGATGAACTGCTCCTGTAGACACTAAGGAAGGCTGGGGAGACATTTCAGGTGTTCAAAAGACGAACAAATAGCAAGGAGATCAGTTTTGCAAACAGACACTAGAGGGTGCTAAAAGCAAGCCAAAGTTGCTTAGTCTGCAGTTAAAAGCATCAGTTCAATCCTGGCTCTGACCAGAGAACTCTGCTATTGTGTCCTTGGGCAAGACACTTAACCCGCCTTGCCTGCTGGTGGTGGTTGGAGGGACCGGTGGCGCCTGTGTTCGTCAGGCCTCGTCTCTGTCAGAGCACCCCAGGGCAGCTGTGGCTACATCGTAGCTCATCATCACCTGCCTGTGAATGGGTGAATGACTGATTGTGTTGTGAAGTGCCTTGGGGGGGTTGTAGAACCCTAAGAAGGTGCTATGCAAATACAGGCCATTCTCCATTTACTATTCAGACCACCCCTTCTCACTTCACATTAGCAAAGAAGCATCCTTAAGGCTAGCGGCCATAGAGAAATATGATGTTTTAATTATTTTAAGCTTCTCTACTTAAGATTTTGTGCTCTCTTAACCACTGCAGTTTTGCAAGTGTGATGTCAGCTGGCCAAGACCGATGAAGTTTGCCCTCCTCAGGACTGATAAGCTAACAGCTAGTCCAAGTTTGTTGCTGCTTTCCTAAAACCGCTCCAGGTTTATCTTCGGAGTTTCCCAGATTTCTGTAGCATCATTTTCTAAACCTTCACAACGCTGTAAAGTCTACATCACGTGATTGTTTACAAGCGTACATTTCACCAGCAGCAGCTAAATGCAGCTCTAACAATGAGCTTAGAGATCAGATTTGGGAGGAATTTCTAAAATTTTTTAACAAAAATAATCAGAGCTGAATTAAGATGGCAGCAATGATTTCACTCAGACTAGCTGTTAGCTTATCAATCCAAAGTCTTCTGTTTCTGACAACACAGGTCATTAAAATGGATTAGAGAGAAATCATTGATATTTGAAATGTACAACCACACTTCAAAATTTGCCCAAATTCTGGAAAACTGGTAAAGAGTAGTGAAGAATTCCTCATTTCAAAGTTTAACCAAACACCTTTAAAGCAACAGACCATAAGGACTTCTAGAGTGAGCGAGCCTGTTTGTTTGGACATTTTCCTAATCAGATACTTAAAAATCACATTTCTGTGACTCTTATCAATGTGACTAATGTAAACTTCACACTCGTGGCTGCTGAGGAGAAGAGGAGGCGTCTGATGAATGATGGGAACGACGGATATTTGAAGCCACTTGACTTTTTCTCTGCACACACTCATGCAGCTGTCAACGACAACTGCTCTTCAGCACGATACACACACACACACACACACACACACACACACACACACACACACACACACACACACACACACACACACACACACACACACACACACACACAGTGAACTTCATAAAGGCAGCATTTAGTTAGAGCTATGTTCAGTCCGACTGGGACAACTGGAGCAACTGGGGGAGTGCACACACAACAGCCGAGTTCTATTTATGTTCTGGCAAGGATCACAAGTCAGGAAAACATTTATTATTTTATTATTCTCACTATTTTAAGTTGATATCAGATCTGAGAATTTTTACAAAATTTACTCAAAACAACAAATTTCATTCCAGTATTTTGATTTCTCGCAGAAAATCAGCCAGAATGACTGTAACCAGTAATTTTGCTGTGAAAAATTTCACTTCTCTGTCGATAAAAGAAAAACAAACAGAAAATTGTTAAATTTGAGTCTTTTACATGAGTGAAAATGTGCATGTGTAACAGTGCTTTAAATTTAAACAGATAAAGGGATTTCCAGTTAGATCATAAAACAAATTTCAAAATAAAAGTAAAAAGAGGAAATAAAAAATAATAATATTTGCACAATATAATCGAAAACTTTAAATGTACCAAAAAATAAATAAAATAAGAATAACAACATTAAAAAATAAATGTAAAAAAAACCCGGATTAAACCTAATTTTTCAAAAAGTATTTTTCAGATTGGTCCTTTTTTTGTTTACTGCTGGTAGGAATGTAATAAGCAGCAGCTATTTTTATTTATACATTTCAATGATCTTTAAATTATTAAAACCTGAATTTATAACATGACACATAGCTACATTATTAATTTTGTGTTATCACTCTAGACATTTACTGATGTTTCTCAAATCCACCTGCCTGTTTGGCCGATATCAGCCGAGTGTTGCTGCTAAGCAGCTCAAAGTCATTTAACCTTAAAGGTGTGAAACACTGAAAAATCATTTTTTATTATTATTTCGGATTATAATTGGTCAGTCTGAGTTTTTCTTGCAAGCAGAACATGAAAATAGTCTCCTACAGCTATCTCCTGCATTAGCTTCTAATAGAAAATAGGATTAGAAAAGCCTGAAAGATACTTAACATTCATGGAGTCACCCTTTGACTCACGACGGGAAAGGCTGTTGTTGGTTCAGCGTCCAGGAATCAGCAGAGAATGTCTCTGCTAGTAGAAGCTAACCATTAGAATTAGCAACACCACCACACAGCAGAACTCCTCCAGGCTTGTGTTATTTGTAGAGAAAAAACATCAGCATTGTAGAGCAAATGGGGTCATGCCACTCCGCTGTTTTCCAATCAGAGACAAGATGTCCAAATATCAGGAAAAAAGACTCCAAATCCAGTCGTCTGAAGCTACTTTCCTCTCCAGCTGATGTCTCCATGCTGATTCAGGAGCCTGTGGATGTTTTATCCCCAGAGTACGACTTACAGGCATTCATTCCTACTAGAACCCGCAAATGTATTGATTGAATGATTATCCCACGACTTTACATCCAAAACTGAAATAGTTAGTTTCAAGTTTTTTTTAATACTTTTCACACCATTTTTCTGAGTGTAGCAATGATTGTTTTGCAGAATTCACACACACATGAAGTCAGCACTCTATGATTGTTTCCGTTTGGAGTAAAGGCACTTTCAGCTTCATAATATTATATAATGTATTTAGAGAAAAGAAAGTTCACGCATTTTGCCCTTTTTGACCTAAAGGCCAAGTCAAATTGGTCCCAAACTGATTAGATTTGTGGAAACGCTTCGTTCTTCTAAGACATGATCCATCCAGCTTCAGCTGCAACATGCAGCAGCAGCAATAAAACATGGTCTGATTTAATAATAGAAGCCCTCTGTTAGACCACTAACAGCTCTCAACCTCACTGATAAAATTTCATTAAACAAAAGTTAAGAGGTTTCTAACATTTTTCTTACTGATCTTTATTTTTAAATTGAGCTGCCCTTCAGAAGCAGTAAAGCACAAACTCCAGCTGCCGGATGGATTTGAGCTTCGGAGTCATGAAGGTTTGTGGATTTAAATAGAACTCACTAAAATACCTGAAAGGGTAAAGTTTCAACCCTTAAATGCTGTTAAGGACGAT